AAAACTTTAATATAAGTTTAACATAACAGCAAATATACAACGTTTCGAAAAGGTTTTGTCATCATCAGGTACTTGTCGAAACGTTGTACATTTGCTGTTATGTTAAACTTATATTAAAGTTTTCTTCATTACCCATTCAAGCCGTCTCTAACCATTATTAGTCTCAGAATGGGTTCCTCGTCATCTAAAAAGGTGATAATATTGAACTTTATAAGCTTATCCATAGGATCAATAGGACAAAGGCCTCAAATTCGTTGTGCTATATTCAGATGATAATAGAACGACAGTACACAGTTTAAGATTTGGAAAAGACAGGCTAGGCTACTGTTAAGACAGTTTTATTTTCATAACAAAGTACTTATTAAAATATGGACTGAGTTACTAGTAGAGACCATCATTTTACAGTAATTTAAGCGTGGAATGAATGATTTCCTAAAAAAAATATAGGATGGGTTTAAAATTTTATTTTTGCTCAAAAGTAAATGCATAAGGACAGCCTTGAAGGACTACGTGGTTCGTTTTTGTTTTCATGTTATGACATTGTTTTTTATTCCATTTTTCTAAAGGAAAATAAAACTATCCATTTTATATTTTCTATTACTTTCATACTTACAGATATATTTGTAGATGTTTATATCTCTACCAATAGATGTCCCTAGTCACTTCCTTTCCCAGCGGTTTAAACGACTATTGGCCCCTTATCTTAATTTGCTATCAATGATATCTACAGGCCTTCAAGGTGATGTTCTTACATTCGCCTCCAGTGCTTTTTTTTATATAAGTCTTCAAGTGTTTCAAAACTTGTACAGAAGATTTGGTTTGTCAAAGATGACAATATTCAAATATTATCTGAAAATGTAACGTTGTGTCAACATAATAAGTTTATATGCTATACACCAAATTATAGAACACTAATACAATTTATTCACAAAATACAAATTCATTTAGTATATCAAACTTACTACGAAAATGAGGGCGTCTGTAGAACTACATATGACCTTCGTTACGAGTGCTGTGTTTTTAAATACGACAAATAAAAAGAGTTTCATCAGCCAAATCTTCGTCAAAGATAGAATACAGGGTGATACAACCGATGTCTTTAATGGTTGCAGATCGCATCATGCTTCAATTTCTAAAGATTTGGTAAGTATATTGCAACAACTTTGCTCATCAATGAACAAACTGATATTTGGGCTTTTTAAAACTTTTTCCGTACTGTGCATTGATCATTTGTACATTCCTAGACTTAAAAATCGTTTTACCTGAACACACGCGTTTCTATGCATTTCTTCCAAATACAATAAACATTTCAAGATATTTTTCAAGATTTAGTAAGCCGTTTAAACTCTCTCTCTCTCTCTTGTTTCCTGTTTGTTTCTTTCGTATATTAGTGCAAAACTACATGAGGGATAGTCACTCCTAATTTTGAATTGGGACGCTCTAATCAAATATTATGATTTAGCTGTCACTCTTATAATGCACCCTGAGCCACAAAATGTGGAACGCGACTTTGCTGTAACGGGACACGAATCGTTGGATCTTAGATCCACAGACGGACACGCTAACCTCTAGGCCACACCCGACCCCAGTTTTTCGAAAAATTTGATGTATTGTTTGTTTGTTTTTTGTTATGCACAAAGCTACACAAGGGCTATCTGTGCTCTGCCCACCACGGGTATCGAAACCCGGTTTCTAGCGTTGTAAGTCCGCAGACATACCGCTGTGCCACTAGGGGGGGGGGGGCGAAATTTGATGTAATACATATATAGAAAAAGAGACCGCTAAACATATTTTGATATTCACAGATAGCCAGTAAGCTAGCAAACCGACTAAACAGATAAACATATTATTTTGCTGATAAACCTTACAGATTAAAAGAATTAGAACTTTTCTAAAAAATATTAAATAAGTAAATAGCTATTTAATAAATAGTATTGTTGCGTATCTGCTTGTTTGTTAATTTCCTGTAGAAATTCTTTCCGAGAAATTTCAGTGATACAAGTTCTTTCTTAATTAAAACTAGTTTATTCTTTCTCGATATAACTTTGCAATACACAGAATTTCCACAGTCACTTTAAACTTGACTACTTTTATGAACACACGCTATAAATCACAGTGATTCACACACTTTACTTAGGGCTTGACTCAATTATCTCTATCTTCAATCTCTCTATCTATATCATTCTGCTTTATTTGCCGAGCTTATATACTAAAAAGAGGGCGCCTAGAACAGATTAGAGTTGCCAGGACAATTCAAGATCCCTCGAGAATCTCATGCCATGTTACCAGCGTCACATGACTTCCGCTGTCGTAACAGTATATTATTAAATATAATCATCTATTATTTGAACTCTCTTTAAAACCGAACTAATTCTTTGGTACCAAGAAACCGAGAAAATTATGGTGGGAGTAAAATAACATAGATATGTATTTGTGTACATAAATGTTTCGGTGGTTGACATTTGAGAAAGTTGGATAGATATGTAGTGAAAATAACTGAGATAAAGAAAGGAATATCTGTAGTAGATAAGGAGATGGACAGCAAAAATATTCTACACTGCATACTTTCACTATTGTCTAGATTTACATTAAAATCGTATATTTCCTGTTGTTCTTTTGAGTATTTTTTGTTGTTGTAATTTTAACTGTCCTTACAGTTTTATTCATTATTTTCCATGGCCGAATTGTAATCCAACAATCACACACTAATTTGTTAGTATCACATAACAAAAACTAGAACAATTAAAATAAATTTTATTTGTAGTTAAGGGCTTTCTCTTTGTCACTAGAAATCTCAAACTTGTCGTCTAGGCTTATTTAGTCTTATTTCGTTCTCGAAACTCGGATTGCTTACTGCTGCGGTTTTTGACTTCAAGGACCCTCGTCCTGAGATCCCTGACCTATTTTGTGTCTGTGTTCTTACAGGTTGAGAATAACCATGGGGATGGCAGACACTAGGCTTGCCAAATATGCATCTCATAAACGACGACATCACAATCCATTCTCATGAAGGCAAAAAAATACATATACATGTGTGTTTTTAAAGTTCATCCCCCAGCTCAGTGGGGAGCAATATAAAGGTGCTTGTCGCAGCGTTTCTCACTTTATAATCTGGTGTAGTCTGGAGAGTTCTTCTTTTTTGGGATTTACTTAACGGTGGAGATAAGTTAGCCCTGAAGATGAAACAGGTGCCTTATATCTATACTATTTTTATAAATTAAACAAGTTATCTCACGTTTTATTATTTGAATTATTTATTAGACGTACAAGTTTGTTAGCAGGTTATGCTTCTTAATTTATAATTACTTTTTGATTTTCGCATATTATGTAGGACATCTTTTATTAATGGCTTTGGTCGATAGCAAAGGTTTTATTATTACTTTGTAGCAAAGAAAAAACACCTCCGTATTGGTTTGAATCTAGATACTAGCGAAAGTTGAAAACTTTATTTATCAATGAATAACCTTAGAATGTGCAAATGTATCAACCTCAATTAGGTTTAACGCTTAGTTCCTGTATACCGACTTCTATTTACTCATTTACTTTAGACGTTAAAAACAGTCATTGTTTGTTAAAAGATTTAAAAAATATAATATAAAAAATACTTTCAAATTTTATTCCATCACTACCCATTATTTCATAGTTATTTTTTTAAAAGAGTATCTTACTTGTTAAGTTTTCTAGGTTGAAAATCAAAATCAATAACTGCTTTAAATGTATTTTTAATGCTAGATTTTTTAATTTTGTGTTTACAGTGATGCTCTATTATTTTATAATTCCTATGAACTAAAAAATAGTAATGTTGTGTGTTAGTCATTTTAAAAAGCACTAATCTTGCGCAATAGTCACTTTAAAAAAACAGTAACGTTATGAGAATTATATTTAAAAAGAAGTATTGTTACATGTATGCTACTTAAGCAATAACGTTAGGTGGTTGTAAGTTAAAAGAAAGTCTGATTCTATGTGTATGTCTCTTTTAAAAAATAGTAACGTTACATGTTTATCACTTACTCAAAACTGCTTTACAACAGTTTCAATAAATGCACGACTTTCTGTTGCTTTCTTCATTAACGAATTTTATGACATAGAGTATTAACAGGACTTATCTGTTTAAATGTTTTATACATAACTAAGGATAAATCAGTCCTAGCTCTCATCCGAAAACTGTGCAAATTATTAGTATAAAATGTAGAATATAGTGTAGTAGGACTTGTACTGATTATCTGTGTTATATGTGTATATATATCACTCAAATAAAAAGTCCAAAAAATAAACTGTTTTCATTTTTATTAAGCTTCTCGTATTGATGTTTGTCACGGTGGTTACTGCCCAGTTCAAGATCCACAGCCCTGATGAATATGAGTTTAAATACGACACCAGATCCAGTGGGGGCGAGGCCAAACTCTTCCGGAAGGAAGAAAGAAAAGAAGATGGAACCATAATCGGAGAGTATGGCTACGTTGACCCTAACGGTGAACTCCAGGTAACCAACTACCGCGTCGGCAAAAATGGTTATGAGATTATTGACGCTTTTGAGGCCGAAGATGAACTCGCTGGACGTGCTGCTCCACGTGAAACTGATGATTCAATTGAAATCCAGAAAGAGTTTAGTGCTGTTGGTCCCGTAAGATTTGACTTACTGTACGGAGGTCGAGGTCTTCCCTTCAATCGGTTGGCCTACCAGTCTCACATTCTAGGTATGCCAGCACTCTACGGGTTCAGAACACTACTTCCCCGACGACACTTCTTTTTCTAAGCTCGTCATGTATCTGTTCCTTTAGACTTCTGATTTGTGAACAGCTACTCTCTATTTACATCTGATGTAACGCGTATGGCTTTTAAAGATATGTTGTTTCAGTTAATAAAAAGATCGAACTATTGTAATCTTTAAAATGTTCAATGTTTTTTGAACAAAGTTTTTCCTATCTCACTATTAAGGTAGAGTGCAAGTTTACCAAATTAAAACATTTATAATTATCTCTTCAGTTTGTTAGCCTGAGTAATATATTTGTATTATATCTGGCACACTTTATGACTTCGGGAATGTTAGGTTCTCTGTGCAATAATAATCTGGACCATGTACTTGAGTCAGAAAAATATACTTCAGCATAACTTCCTAGTTTTTCTTGACGAGTATGTGTGTTAACACCATGATCTAGCACTCGTCGTTTATTCAATCAATATTGACAACTTATTTTTGTGTCATGTTTATAACTAATGTGTGTCAGACATTATGACAATAAAGGAACTTTCTAAAAATGTCTGTTTCATTTATTTGTAATTTTTATTTTGTTTTGACAGATATAGAAAGAAAATATAACTTATTAGAGAATTCAATGTGTCAATCTAAAGTAATTCCATAGCCTCTCCGGGTCATTTTCACAATCATAAGACCGTTCTTTTCATACTATACTTAAAGGGCTAGAACTCAAAAACCTAATAGCAAACTGAAAACGGAGGCTAAAAAAATCTTGTAATAAGTATATATTTTTCTACGGTTTACAAATATTAAGCCTAACTTGAAATGTAAATGAAATATGCATGTTGTCATTAAGAACCCGCTTCTATACATTCATATACGACTTTAATCCAGCTTAGAACTATACTCAAATGCTTTATAAATGTTGAACTTCGTGTAAATAATCATTCAAACATAACGTGTTTTTGTATAATGGCAATTAACTCTGAAATATAGTGCGTCAAAACTTTCAGTATCTAAGGCAGAGTGGTCATAGCGGCTTTTTTGGGTGGCCTGTCATTCATAATTAAAACTAATTATTAACTGTAACTTGTTGAAAATGCTTAGCAACTCTTCTCGTACAAGTTATTACATAATATTAAATATCTCAGTTCGATGTCAATCAGCGAGTGAGAGGCGTGGTAACTTAAGAGCCTCCTTGTTATTGGTTGATTTTTTTTATTTCTCGGGAAATCGCACAGAATTCTCGAGCCACAGAACTGTCGTGCTTATTGTTATATTAGCGCCATCCATTTTGAATACCAACTGTATAGTTAAAATTATACGATTCATTTTTCAATAATATTTAATCAGGAAATACATTCAAGTTTAATTAGTGTTTCAACGATAACGCAGTAAAATGTCGTGCTTCCTAATGTTTGATTGGTAAGTTTAATAATATATTACTTATTTCAATTGACGACGTACAATAGTCAAAAGTTAATAACATCCTTTGAAAGTAAAAGGTTTTAAGTTCATCTTTTCCCTGAAGCTGGGTGTGTTTGGAGTATCAATAAATTCAATTATTTTCAGATATGAAATAGATTGAATTGATTTTAGTTTCAATTTTTCGATGATTAGGATAATACTTTAAGAGTGAGCCATACTTACAACTCACCTATAAGTTTCGAAAATATGAGGTGGTAGTAAATTAAACTCTCCTACATAGACAGGAGACATAAATTATCCATAGTTTAACTATTCAATGAGAAAATGGGTGTAAGAGTTGAGTCATAATTTCATTTTCTTTAAAGTAGAAGAGTAATAAATGTTTGTAAATGCATATCTTGTATCGTGGAATAAATTGGCTGCTACTTTAACTTTCTTATGAGAACAGAAGAGTATGAGTTGACGGTGTTTTCAACTCTTTATAAAGGTATAGGGGAGAGTATGAATTATTTAACAGTTTCACTCTTTGAAAATAGAAGAGTATGAATTATTTAACAGTTTCACTCTTTGAAAATAAAAGAGTATGAATTATTTAATAGTTTCACTCTGAAAATAGAAGAGTATGAATTATTCAACAGTTTCACTCTTTGAAAATAGAAGAGTATGAATTATTTAATAGTTTCACTCTTTGAAAATAGAAGAGTATGAATTATTTAATAGTTTCACTCTTTGAAAATAGTATGAAGAGTATGAATTGGCCGTAGACTCCATTCTACTAAATGGTATATGCAATTGGTCATATACTCAACTCCCGTACAGAGTGCAAAAACGTGAAATAACTGTTACTTCACTTCTACTATGAATATATATATATATATAAATTGACCGAACACCAAACCTTGAAGGTAGAAAAATTGGTTCCAACTTTAACACCCCTATAAAGAGAAGATAATTTAACAGAACTTCGAGGTTTTTTAAAATATAAAGGTATGAACTGGTCCCAACTTTAACTCTACTATGAAGATGGGAGAGTATGAATTGGCTATAAACAACTATTTTGAAAGTAGGAGAGAATGAAGTGACCTTAAATACAACTCTCCTATAGCATAGAAAAATGATAATTGCCTACAACATTGCTTACCACCTCTCACCTCCCCTTGGCGTCGCCACTGCAGCTTCGTGACGGTTTCTATTGTTGGGCGGGTCGGATCAAAAATTAAAAAAAAAGAAGAGAAGTCCAGTCTGTTTAACAATAAAGAAAGTACCAATTTTCTCGTATCTACCGTACTTCTTATATCTCAAGTACTTTACTGAAACCAAACTCGTATTCATGAACCTGAAGTAAACAACTACTGGCTAACAAATTCGCTAACCCAATAATCAATCCACCACACTAAAGTCAACCAATCACTCTCTCTTCTAATCTCGCCTATCATGCACTATATTTTTTAAACCATTTTCTAAACTATCAAGAAAACCCCAAACGTTAAAGTACGCGCTTTTCACGTGACATCAACACCACCTCAGATGAAACAAGAATACAAAGATTAAAACTCTAAATTAAGAAATAATCGTACCCTACAAAACTGCCTACTCCATGGATTATGAAGTTATTTGGTTAATCGTACTACAGAGAGTAAATAATGGTACACTATACCTTAATTTCCTTAATTAACAATACAGAAACTCTTGATAAATACAATGTTAATGTTTATAAGTATATACATTGCAGTCATTAATTCATTAGTTGAATATGTTAAACAAACTTCAAACAAAAATTTGATTAATAACAAAATGTTCTTTCTATACTCGTCTATTGTTTTTCACCAAATATTTTTGGTGGTTTTCTTTTCCGTGACTTATGGTCAAAAAATATGGTGACTTCTTGTTTTTTAACTTCACTTTTTGTCTTGCCAATACGGGAAGTTCTCTTCAGGTAGGTAGTCATAAGAATCCACTGGTGGCTCCTTCCCCGGTGATACTCCACTCTGGAAGTAGTCCCAACGGAAAGCTCATACTCGTCAGCAGGTGTATTCATCTCTTGTAAAATCTTCTCCGAAGTTGATCAGTTGAAAATTCTCCTTTTCTGATATGTCCAAAGACAGTCATAGAGCCCAGGTTGCCACTGGCCACTAACGAATAGCTTGATGCTAGCTCAGTTCTCTCTCAGGGCTGGGTGAACCTTGGTGTATGTACATATCAGAGTACAGCAACAATCAATAAAGTTCCTAGCTGATACGATAATGGTCAGTACACTGGGATATCTTGCATTGAATTAGACATTCTGAGTGAAATGGCCACTCAGGCCAGTTAACATAGACTTTATTCTAACGAATATATACAAGCTATGTGTAAATGGAGAGGTGAAACACTGACTATGTCTAGAAACCTTCATTCACAGAATAAAGGTAGTTGTCGCCGACCTCGGTTCTAGTATTGACATCCTTGGGATGGACTTATTGTGGAACTCACTGGTCAGTCTCACCTGTGAAGCTGGTGTTCTGTAGGAGAGATATTTGATGCCGGCTAGATCAGGCTCAAGAAGGGGAGACTGAATAAGCGTGTATGGGGAGGAAGCTATAATGCCCCCACGTACATAAGTGGTGTCCTGTGGTTTACTATGGATGAGGTTTAGTGCTTTGGTGAAAGAACCTAGATATTAAATGTACTCCTGTTCAGAAAGGAAACAGCATTAGTTCTTGTTTATATCTGAGTGGAAATGAAGTTCTGGTGTTGTTCTACAATTAAGGGTGATCAGTTATCCAACTTTTCACTGAAGTGGTCATCAGCATTGTAAGCATAGAATAAGTAGCCAAGGCCAGTGGTAATGCTAGGCTTAAATCAGTCATACTGCATCCGAAACCAATTACACATCTGCAAAAACAACTGAGATCACTAGTTAAGGATTGTGGAACTACTCTTGACTCATTACAGCAGCAGCAATTTAATGCTTGGTTGGAGAAACATGCCTACGTATTTGTGGAACCAGCTAACCAATTAGGTCAAACAACAGTAATACTACATCACATATATAAAGATTATGTATGTCAAATTAAATAAACATCCTTCACTGGAGCACTATGGAAGTAAGAAGTTGCTGAGATACAATGGACAGGATTAACAACCTTCAGAAAATGATTGGTTGTGTCCAGTTGTAACTGCCAGAAAGAAAGAAAGATATTGATAAGGTTCTGTGTTGGTTTTAGACGAGTGAACATGGTAATTCACATTAATACCATTCCCTCGCTGCAAACAGATGAATGTCTGAACATCTTGAAACAGTTTAGATGTGGCGAGTATAGTTTGATGAAAAAAAGTATACTTAAAACTGCATTCAGCACGAAAGATTGTTTGAGTTTTTGCATCATGCCCTTCAGATTGTGTAATGTACCCACCACTTTGAGAACTTAATATAGTTTACACTGAAGGGACTGAAATGGGAGAAATGCCTGTTATATGTGAATGACATTTTTATATCTAGTTGCACTTTTGAGTCTGTGACTAAGAACCTAAAAAATGATATTCCAATGGATTGAAAAAAAAAGCAGGCTTGAAACTAAAACCAGGAAAATGTGAGTTCGTGCATGATGAAGTGGAACTTCTCGGTTATATCATGAGAAGAGATCCTTGACAGATCCTGTTAAAATAACAGTGCTGTGAGACTCGCCTCAACCTGTTATCAATCAAGAGGTCCACAGTTTCCTTTTTGAAACTCACTAGCAATGGCTCGTGGCCATATTCTCCAAGACTGCCATACTATTACCGTTCTCACTAAAGTTGTGATGCACTTGAGATAACATAAGGAATGTGAGAACACATTACAGTCCCTGAAGCATGCTTTAGTAGGAGCCCTAGTGCTGGAATATCCATGAAAGAACTGTGAGTTCTTTTTAGATACCAATGCTAGTGATAGTGGAATCTGTTATAACAGTTGAAGTATGGACAGTAACATACCCATTCGTATACCCATGGCTCTGGAATGCATATAGTATGCAATGAAGAAAGAACTGCTTGTACCTCTAGTCTTCATAAAAAAAACTACTAAAACTACCTGTATGGCAGAAAGTTCACAATTTGCATAGACTAAACATTGCTGAAACTGCTGACAATATCTAAGAATCTGGAAGGAATGGCTG